TCCTCTGCTTAGAGACGGCCTTCCCCTTCTGCCTGTCTCCGTAACAGACAAAGAGCTGGTCTGAGGTTCTAAAGCATTGTGTCCGGTCTAAGTACCATCTCAAGGCTCGGACGGGACAAAGCAAAGCTAGGGCTGTAGTGCAGTTGGGGGCCCGTCCATACCCCGAGACTGCATGCCCGTTGTGCGTGGCCCCCCAGCCAGTGGTGGAGGCATCTGTGTAAACCACAGCATGCTAGGAGATCTGCTCTAGGGGCACCCCTGCCCGGAGAAACGTAAGGTCTGCCCACGGGGGGTGAATGTTTGGCATCAGGCCAGTGTAGCTTGGACCCAGTGAGTGCCGCGCTGCCACGCCCACCTCGGGACTCAGCCATGAAGCCAGTGCTGAAGCAGTCTCATATGAAGCAGCCCCAGCGGAGTAACTGTCGATGCAGCTGCCATATGCCTCAGGAGCCTCTGAAATTGTTTCAGTGGGACCACTGTTCTGCCCTTGAATGAATTCAAGCAGTTCAGCACCGACCGCACATGTTCCTCTGTGAGGCGTGCTGTTTGTTCGACCGAATCCAACTCCATACCAAGAAAAGAGATCCTCTGCGTCAGGGAGAGTTTGCTCTTTTCCCAGTTGACCCGAAGACCCAACTGGCTGAGGTGCCGGAGCACCAGGTCCCTGTGCTCGCACAACTGAACCCGAGACTGCGCTAGTATAAGCCAATCGTCGAGATAGTTGAGGATGCGAACAACCTGCTCTCTGAGGGAAACAAGAGCTCCCCTCCGCAACTTTCGTGAAGACACGGGGAGACAGGGACAGTCCGAAGGGCAGGACCTTGTACTAATATACACGTCCTTCGAACGCAAACCACAGAAACGGTCTGTGGCGCGGAAGGATCGACACATGAAAGTACGCATCCAATCCCCGACGCAAACCAATCTCGGGGACGGATGCACCTGAAGATGCGTTTCTGCGCCAACATCTAGAACGGTAACCAGTGAAGGGCCCGGTTCAAGACACGCAGATCCAAGATTGGTCGTAACCCACAGCCTTTCTTGGGTACAATGAAGTAAGAGCTGTAAATCCAGTCTTCATATCAGCTGGAGTGGCCGGCTATATCGCTTCCTTCGCCAGTAGGACTGCGATCTCTGCACGCAAGACAGGAGCATCGGCCGCCTTCACTGCCGTGAAGCAGATGCCACTGAACTTGGCGAACTGAATTGCATAGCCGAGGCTGATGGTCCGCAGAAGCCAGCGAGACGGGCTGGGTAGCGCTGACCAAGCGCCCAGAAACCGTACAAGCGGGACCAGCGGGACCAGCTCATCCTTCGAACGCGTACCGCAGAAATGGTTTGTGGCACGGAAGGATCGACACATGAAAGTACGCATCCAATCCCCGACGCAAACCAATCTCGGGGACGGATGCACCTGAAGATGCGTTTCTGCGCCAACATCTAGAACGGTAACCAGTGAAGGGCCCGGTTCAAGACACGCAGATCCAAGATTGGTCGTAACCCACAGCCTTTCTTGGGTACAATGAAGTAAGAGCTGTAAATCCAGTCTTCATATCAGCTGGAGTGGCCGGCTATATCGCTTCCTTCGCCAGTAGGACTGCGATCTCTGCACGCAAGACAGGAGCATCGGCCGCCTTCACTGCCGTGAAGCAGATGCCACTGAACTTGGCGAACTGAATTGCATAGCCGAGGCTGATGGTCCGCAGAAGCCAGCGAGACGGGCTGGGTAGCGTTAGCCAGGCACCCAGATACCATGCAAGTGGGACCAGCTGAACCACCGTCGTACCCACAGTGGGGTAGCGAGGTGGAACGCAGGGACCCAACTCGGGTGGCTTGTGGGCGGACCGAAGCCGAATCTTCCTCTCCAGAGAGCTCTCCCTCCGATGCAGTGATCGATATCCGGTCGTCGGGAGGAGCACCAAAGGATACCGCTTCTCCGCTCTTTAAAGAGGGCCCAGCGCCTTCCTTTGGCGGCTCGACTGGTTGCGAAGCGCTAGAGGAGTGATGGTCCCCCGAGGGTTGGTTCCCTGAGGGGTTTGCTAACGCTGTAACCCTCAGACCACCCGTGCTACTGCCCGAAGTAGTCCTCGCATGGCTGCCGCCAGGACGAACACTAGATCGCGGCAGAGGCAACGGAGCTCCCCCCCCCCGGAGGAAATGGAGCCTGGCCCGCAGCTCTGAGATGGTCATCTTCCCGCAATGGGAACTTGACTCATCCACGAACGCCACCTCAGCGTGTTTAATGCTCAGACACGTGAGGCAGCGATCGTGACCATCACCCGGTGCCAGGTAACGACCGCATCCAGAAACGCACTGGTGTAACGCCATCTTTAAAAAGACGATCCGTCGTCTTTACAAAGACGCACACGTGCAAGCTCTTTTAGAGAAATAAGCCCTTTCAGGGAAATGCTCTTTTAGGTGCTGAGACGCACAGGGGAGATGGCCGCTTGTAGCACAACAGGGGGTAGTGCAGCCTGAAGTGCGCAACCCACTCGACACAGGAACGACCACTGCTGAAGTGCCGTCCGCCAACACAAAAAGCTCCCTAAAGCGCGTTGAACTCATCACACATGAAGCAGTTGATAGGACCAGAACGATGTTGTCGCTCGGCTCCGAAGCGAAAAGCTGGTATGCGTTGCACCGGCTGCCTTTTTATGCTCACACTGTGATCAGCGGCAGCTGGATGCAATAATTGCATGCCAAGACATGACTCATAGTGACCGACTACAAGGGAACCTATGTACTAAAATGTCAAGAAAGTTGGAAAATTTGTTTAATTTATGAGTCAGTTTTTTCTAATGGTTCCAAACACTGATTCAATAATTCACTTTCCTCATTACTTTTAAATATGCTTAAAATGCCTGTTAATTTACATACTTAAAGGTGTGTTTGATTAGGGTTGGAGCTAAACTGTGCAGAGCTGTGGCCCTCCAGGAATTGAGTTTGAGACCAATGATGTACAGTATATATACAGTTGTATATAAACAGATAGTTGAAGTACTGTATATTTTAGAAAATACTGTTTCAATTTTTTCTACTCCAAAATGTTACATTTAATACAATGTGTTATTTGCCTTTTTTGTAACTGAAATTCACAAGCAACTAGAATGCCAATGTTTTATGTACATTAGGTATATAAAGGTTATCTATAGGTACAGCTTTGATTTTTGTAAAAAAAAAAAGAAAGAAAAAAAAGTAAGACAATTATTGGTTATATACGTGACCCTGGACCACAAAACCAGTCATTAGGGTCAAATTTTCAAAATTGAGATTTATACATCTTCTGCAAGCTGAATAAATAAGCTTTCCATTGATGTATGGTTTGTTAGGATAGGACAATATTTGGCCGAGATACAACTATTTAAAAATCTGGAATCTGAGGGTGCAAAAAAATCAAAATACTGAGAAAATTGCCTTTAAAGTTGTCCAAATGAAGTTCTTAGCAATGCATATTGCTAATCAAAAAATGTTTTGATAACAAAATATCTTCATGGAACATAATCTTTACTTAATAGCCTAAGGATTTTTGGCATAAAAGAAAAATCGATAATTTTGACACATACAATTTTGTTTGGCTATTGCTAAAAATATACCCAAGTGACTTAAGACTGGTTTTGTGGTCCAGGGTCACATATGTTAAAAGAACTCGTTGCAAGGGCAGGTCATTTGCAGTTAAGGAGAAGAAGAAGAAAGAAAAAAAACATACAACATACCACCAGCACAAAGACATTACAGAACCCAACCAGATAAAGCAAGTTTACAAACAGATTGATAGTAACCAGGTAATTCGGGTCCAGAACTCAAAAACATAAAGAACAGGCTAATGAAACGAAGATGGAGAACTTGAAAGGGCTACTGTCAACCACAGTCACATGACCCACCAAAACACACTTGCTAGCAATTATTTTTACCAGAATGTGTAGGATGAAGCTCCACCATCAGTTAGGCCTCCAGGGCTAAGATTGCGGGTTAGGGCTGTCTGTTTCAGGATTCAAAGTAAGCAGTTTGTTTATAGAGAAGAACTCTTTACTACGAGAAAAGAAAAAAGAAAGAAAGAAATTCTTACTTTGTTGCTTCTTCTGTGCCTCCTTCTCCATCTGCTTTGCCCTCTTCCTCCATCTTCTGCTCATCTGAGATCAATTCCTGGTTCTTATGTCTGCGAATACACTTCACCACTACCATGGACAGAATGAGCAAAGCTAGAATTCCTCCCACAGATGCCCCGATGGCAACAGCAATGGTCGAATCTCTTGGTGGTGGCACTGGGCAGAGGAAGACAAAAATTGAGGAAAACAAAATAATAAATCAGAGTAGCATATTGCTTTAGCAAAAAAATAAAAAAAATAAAAAAATATATATAGTGGTTCAACAGTAATGTTATAAACAGTGTTGGGGAAAGTTACTTTTAAAAGTAATGCATTACAATATTGCATTATTCCCTAAAAAAGTAACTAATTAAGTTACTTAGTTACTTTTAATGGAAAGTAATGTGTTATGTTACTTTTGAGTTTTAAATCAATATCAATAATACCGCCTAGTGATATTTTAAAATAGGCAGCGGCTATTTGCACTAAGTGTAAATAGCAATTATATGTTATTTACACCAAGTAAAACCAGCATATTTTCTTAACGATCAATGCTGAATAGCAGTATTTTCTTAGTGATAAGCTATTTGCACTTAGTGTAAATAGCATATCACTAAGAAAATACTGCTATTAGATTCTATTTACACTAATAATACTGCTAATAGATTCTATTTACACTATGCAACATTTTGAAATGATTAAATAGAGGTTGCCCTGTTGGGACAATAAAGCCCTACACCTAACCCTAACCCCCGATACTTTATTTTTAACTTTTCAATTATTTCCTTAATTTTTATTGAAAATAAATGCCTTTCCAATGTGATATGTGGTGTGAAAAGGGAGAAGAACGAGTTAGGCAAAAGGCGGATTCGAACTCGGATCAATCGCGTCAAAAAGAATGCATAACGTGCTTTATCATCTTCGCCATTAGAGCTGTCGCTTGCCAGCCGTCTTTTGTAATATTATCTAGCGCAAACATACGTTGGTGGGCGGAGTTAGCCTCTGCCAACAAGGCGGCTATTTGCATTTAATGTAAATAGACATTCTGTTTAAGATATTTTACTTGTCTTGAAAAAGGCGGCTGCAAACAACTGACTAAAGGGACTACAGATGTTTAGCTTTTTACTACTGGTGATTGTATTTAGGCTTCAAAATCTATAAACTTTTGTATTCATTTGTAAAGATTATCATGATGAAAAGAAAAACACGTAAGAATGATAAACATTTGTTGTTCACAGGGCTTTTTTTTTTCTATAATAATCCAAAAGCCACTAGAAAATTTGACTTTTTGTTGAGCGAACAACTTCAAAAATACATCATCAATGCAGCACTCTATTCTAATTCCGGACTTAACAACACTGCAATAAGGAAACACCATTCATCATGGCCTCTCCTAAAATAACCTGGGTAGAGCTTCTTGGCTCATACTGAAGCCTTACATTCAGTCAGGACGAGGACCTGAATGGCGCCATGGCCATGAATGCGGTCTGGAGGGTTGCGCACATAGCAGTTGTAGATGCCCTCGTCTGTCAACTGCACATCTAAGATAGTGATGCTCAGGTCGTTCTTATCCAGGTTTCCAGAAAATGTGACTCGATCTCCAAATCGGCTTGACTTCAAGGGTGTTATCTTGTTCTTATAGGTCATGAACTTGGAAAATAAGACATTTTGGATGAAGGTAGATTGAGAAAGGTAAAGAAAAAATGGAATTGTGTAATTTTAAAGAACTGGTAATACAATGGTATTAGCATGTTTTGTCTTTGTTTTCTCTCACCATTTCCTCTGTGCTGTTGCTTGTCTCCTGATAGGTCCAGTTCATGGCAAACTTGCTGGGGTCCAGCTTGTAGCATGAAGTGAACGCACAGGGGATTCTGACATCTGTCCCATTGAGAGCGAGGATCTGTGGTGGCACCAGCACATCCATGGAATTCACTGGACATGCTATGAGAGATGCAAATATACACGTCTATGACATCTGATTGGTGAGATACTTCTGTAAAGCGCATGTTTTAAATGCAGTGTGCATGAAAATGCCTTTTCAAGTAAGTTAAAATGCCATTTTCAAAAAATAAACAAGCTATTTTTTTAACTTTCAAAGTGATTTGAGTAGTTATCTTATATAACTTCTAATGATGGATATTTAATTATGTAATTCAAACACCTTTTAAAAGTTCATTTTAATTTAGAATGACTAGTTTTGACTGTAAATTTGGATTGGATAAGCCTTGTTCAAATTGGTAGGGGGTTGGTAAGATTTTATTTATGAAAGAAGTCTCTTATGCTCATCAAAAACAGCATTTATTTGATTAAAAATACAGTAAAAAAAAATATTTACTATTTTTATATTTTTTTAATGTAATTTATTGCAGTGATTGCAAATTTTTTCAGCATCAGTACTCAAATGTTACTTGATACTTCAGAAATTATTTGAATTTGCAAATTTAGTGCTTAAGTATTATTATTATTATTATTATTATCATTATTATTATTATTACCAGTATTGAAAATAGTTAGGCTGCTTTTTTATTGTGTAAACTGTGATACATTTTTATTATTATTTGAATAGAAAGATCATAGAAAGTCACAGAAAAGTATTTAAGTCACTTTTGATCAATTTAATGCATCCTTGCTGAATAAAGTATTAATTTCCGATATGTATATATATATATATAAAATATATATTAAATGCTTTTTCATATTTAAAATATTACAGACCAAGAATCTGAGACCACATTGAAAATCACTGAAAAGGCATGACATGTATGCTTTCACTTAAACATTAAACATTTGGTATCGACTTTTAAATCCCAATAAATTTTAAATATTTTAATATGCATTACAAAATGAATGTCATTTTACTTTAAGCAATGTGTTTACAATGCCTTATATAAACCATATTTTTCCAGTGTTGCCAAGTTCAATGTAAATAAATGACTTCTTAATCTGCATCTGTATTAAGCATACACTATAAGTTGCATTGCTATTACTATGATCTATGCTACTACTATATCACTATGATTGCCAAAAAATGTTATCCTATTGTCTAAATATTTATTTCCTCCACCTCTGCACCATTTCATCCCTCTGCAGTCAGGAGTTTTGTGTTTCTGGACAAGTTCCCACTGCTGCAGCAGTTATGCTTTATCGGCCCGGCTCTCTGCAGTAGGAGCAGCAACTTCGTCACACCCTCCCATCCCATCCCCACCCCCTCAAAGTGCTGCAGTTTAGTCCGTCCCCCTCCCTTTAGAAAAAATCAGGTATCCTCATGGATAGAGAGCAAGAAAACACGCATACACACACAAATCTCACGCATATGTGAATAGGTTCAGTAACTATTATGATTTATAGTGCGCTAAATCCAGAGTGCTAACAAGGCAACATTTTAATGCCCCTGTGTCCCAGACTGGCCATTTCGGCGACGCGGTCGAGAGCTTGGCCCAGCAGCTCTCGGCGGCACAGAAGCAAACTGAGGCGGGTCATCACACCCTGCCCCGGCGGGCAGCTGCTGCCTCCACCCATCCGCCGACCACAGCGCCCCAGCCTGCTCGTCGCCAAGGGCGGCCCTCTGCGTCCGCCCCTGCTCCCGCGCCGCATCCGCAGCAGCCTCCAGCAAGCAGTGCCGTGGAGCTGGGCGAAGGCAGGCCACCCCACCCATCCAGGCCCCCGTCAAACCTGGCGGTGAGCGAAAGAGAAAGAGGCCCCGGGACGTGTGACCCAGAGAGGGAGGAAGATGCTCTTTGGGGCATGGTGAAGGCACCTCTCCCTCCCCCGGAGGAGGGCTGGGTGGAGAATCTGGAAAATCTCAACGAGAGAGCGGTTTTCTCTATTCCTGGGTCCCAGGAGGGCACGGAGAGTCACGGACGGACCAGCACTGGACCACACTCATCCTCCTCCATCGCCAGCAGGCAGCAGCGGGCGGTTCGAGAGCGTCAACAAAGGCCCTACTCATGCACCCTCTGCCAAACTGTGGAACCAGGTATGCATTGCACTGCACACTCGGACCCCTCTTCGTTCCGCTCACAAGCCACCCGAGTTGGGTCCCTGCATTCCACCTTGCTGCCCCACTGTGGGTACGGCAGTGGTTCCGCTGGTCCCACTTGCACGGTATCTGGATGCCTGGCTAGCGCTACCCAACCTGTCTCGTTGGCTTCTGCGGACCATCAGCCTCGGCTATGTGATTCAGTTCGCCCGGCGTCCCCCCAAGTTCAGCGGCATCCG